GTCGTCCCTCTCTCCCTCTGTTGACACATTGTCCCTCTCTCCCTCTGTAGACACATTGTCTCTCTCTCCCTGTTGACACATCGTCCCTCTGTCCCTCTGTTGAGTTGTCCCTCTCTCCCTCTGTTGACACGTTGTCCCTCTCTCCCATTGTTGATACGTTGTCCCTCTCTCCCTCTGTTGACACATTGTCCCTCTCTCCCGCTGTTGACACATTGTCCCTCTCTCCCATTGTTGACACGTTGCCCATCTCTCCCTCTGTTGACACGTTGTCCATCTCTTCTGCTCAGCCTTTCAGACAGAAGGAAAGCTCTATCTGATCCTGGACTTCCTGCGAGGAGGAGACCTCTTCACCAGACTGTCCAAAGAGGTAAGCTTCCCTCTTTGAGGATGTGCCGGGTGCTGTGCGTTTCTTTCTAGAATTCAAGGGACAAAGAGGAAACGGACCACACTGATGGGAGGGGTGTGTGTGTGAGTGTAAGAGTGTGAGTACAGAGTGTGAGTGAGTGTGAGACACTGAGCCTGTGAGTGTGTATGAGTGCATGTGTGTAGTGTGTAGTAGTGCATGTGAGTGGAAGTGTGTGTAAGAGTGATTGTGTGTGGCCGTCAGAATGTGAGTGTGGGAGTATGTGTAAGAATGTGTGTGTGAGAGTGTATGTATGAGTGTGTTTGTTGAGTGTGTGGGGCTGAGTGTGTGAGAGTGTATGTGGGTACATATATGAGTTTGTGTATTAAGTGTATGTGTGTGTGTGTATTGAGCACGTGTGTGAATATGTATGGGTGTATATGTGTGTGTGTGCATTGAGAGTGTGAGTGTATGTATAAGTGTGTGTGTGGAGTGTATGTGTAAGTGTGTGTGTATTGAGCATGTATGTGAGTGTGTGGGGGTGTGTGTGGGTGCATATGTGTGGGGGTGTGTATGCTGAGAGTGAGTTTGCATATGTATGTGTGTGAAAGAGAGTGAGTGTATGAGTGTGCGAAAGTGTGTGTGTTGGTTTTAAAGAAGTCGCTCAGCAAATTACACATGCAAGAAGCCGGATGTCCTTGAAAGCCGTAAGAGAGGCACCCCCTGTAAAGCTGTAGAACCATCAAGCGCAAGAGCAGATGTGAGCCAGGCTGAGTCACGGTAATGGTGGCGCAGGACACCTTTCACTCCCGTCACGGGAAGGCGCTGCTCGCATGAGCTGGCCAGGGTGCTGGGAGAGGGCTCTCGCAGGCTGGTCACGTTCGGAGCGTCTCAGCCAGTCTCCGCACTCTCTGACGTCTTCGTGACTGTTAGCTGCTTCACAACCCCAGGCTTTATCCTCAACCTCTTGGTACCTTCAATAGGAATTTTCTAGAACGTTTCTTAGTGTGCCATGAAAGCTTTCTGTCCACTAATGGACTTAAAAACCACTCTTCTTCATGGGCTGCAAAAACAGAATTCTGCCTGTGGCAGCAGTAATGCTCAACTTTCCAATTCTACTTACTCTGTCCAAGAATGATGCAGGTGACAACGTGTCAATCAGATACCTACAGCAGGTTTCCTGTACTTCCGATGTGGCCTTACCAAGCATGTTGTTGTTATTAGCTGCCATTGAGTTGGCCCTCTGCTCATGGTGCAAGGAAACACTGCCCAGTCCTGTGCCATCCCCGTGATCTGTTGAGCAAAGGACCCTTGTGATCTATAGGGTTTTCACTGGCAGATTGTCAGAAGTAGATCACCAGGCCTGTTTCTTCCTCGTCCATCTTAGTCTGGAAGCTCTGCTGAAACATGTTCAGCATCACAGCAACATGCAAACCTCCACTAACAAACGGGGTGTAACTGTACTTGAGGTACATGGGCCAGGAATGGAACCTGTGTCTCCTGCATGGAAGGCAAGGATTCCACCTCTGAACCCCACTACCTCATTTATCAAGCATGAAGTTGTTGTTGTTAGGTGCCGTCGAGTCGGTTCCGACTCATAGCAACCCCGTGAACAACAGAACGAAACACTGCCGGGTCCTGCGCCATCCTCACAATCGTTGTTATGCTTGAGCCCATTGTTGCAGCCACTGTGAGGGTCTTCCTCTTTTTCTCTGACTCTCTACTTTACCAGGCATGATGTCTTTCTCCAGGGTCTGATCCCTCCTGATAACATGTCCTTGCTTCTAAGGAGCATTCTGGCTGTGCTTCCCAAGACAGATTTGTTCGTTCCTCTGGAAGTCCATGGTATATTCAATATTCTTCGCCAACGTCACAAGTCAAAGGCATCAATACTTCTTCGGAAATTCCACATCGTGTTTGTTAATTGCCTGTAACAGTGCTTTTCAAACTACCTTCTCCCTCTTTTTTTTTTTTTAACTCTTCACTCACTTTTTTGCAAGAGGTCCTTTTCTCTTGAGTGAAACTCCAAAATGACTCTAGCCCAAAGTGGAGCCATTTGGAGTGGGGGGGGGTGCTCACCCCTCCACTTTCTTCGGTCCCCTGGGCGATGGCACCATATAAATCTGTTGGTTTCCTTGCACTGTAGGCTGGAAACCACAGGGCTAGAAGGGTCAGGTCTGAGCTCTACAAAATGCCCTTTCTGAGCAGTGTGTGATCCCTACGTTTGCCGCATACCTGATGCCACGTGTTTCCCGAGGGGCTGGCCCTGTGACACCTCCTCAGAGGATATCATTGATTTGTTCCTTCCCCACTCAGCTATAGGAAATCAGGCCACTGGGGTCTGGTTTTGTCCAGCACCTAGTGGGACCGACCCAAAAGGCAGCAATAACTAACAAAAAGCCCTGTCACTTCTCACAGCAGGACAGCGTACCCCACGAGACCCTTTATTTCAGAGCTGAGGTGAAGTTGTTAGGGGTTGGCACGACAGATACTGGAAGCTGGTGGAAACACCTGGAAGTTACTCCCCTGAGTTCTCCCACCTGCACCCACAACATTCGACCGTGTGTCTGTCACCCACCAACCACCACCAGGGGCTCACATCCCGAGGTTTCTCGTCTCTGTGGAGAAACCGTCTGTCGTTTATACTCGGAGACCATGTGGGGATATGGCCTAAAAGCTGGAAAAGCACAGAAGTGAGGTTGCCTCGGAGCGTCAGACCATCAGCAGCCCAAGGTGAACAGAGCACGGATCTGTGCAGTCAGCGGGAAGAGAGCTAGGCCTTTAGTCCAGTCCTGGGCTCACCAGGCAACTTTCCCACTACAGGCGATTTCTCATGTCGGCCTTCAGACAGAGAATTTGGTAACAATATAGACTTCAAGTCTCTATTGATTTCTCATAGTGAATGTCAAATATGGTTATGATAATGACCTGCTTCCTGCTAAGGTGACTACGAACAATATCTGCTGATTATAACGACAGTCAGATGATAGGGAAATGTTGTTATTGTTGTTAGTTGTCACGGAATCGGCTCTGACTCATGGCAACCTTACGCGCAACAGAGCAAAATGTGGCCCCGTCCTACTCAGCTTCACGATCGTTGGTGTGTTTGAGCCCGTTTTTGTGGCTACTGTGTCAATCCATCTCACTGAGGGTCTCCCTTGTTTTCTCTGACCCTCTACTTTTCGAGAGATTGGTCTTTTCTGATGATGTGTCCAAAGTAAGTGAGCGCCAGTCTCACCGTCCCTACTTCTAAGGAGCATTCTGGTTGTCGATCAGGAGATCTGTTATGAAATAATGACTTTGAAGTCTGTTGGGCACCTTGGGTATGTTAGCCCAGATTAGCACACCTCCATCTTGTGGACATTGGGTTGTCCCAGTGCCTGGTCACCCTGAGCCTGCCACGCTGGTCTCTGGGCCCACAGAGACTTGAGCACCTGGATGGGGCCCCCCGACCCATGACACCCTCTCCTCTTCTGCACCCAGCCTCCCTCGGCTCGGTGCACACCACGCCCTCGAGCGCACGCGCAGCTGATCCTACGTTCTGGAGGTGTTGTATCTGGTAGAACTAGTTCCACCCCGAGTAGCCAGGAGATCCACTGAGGTTACTAGTTTGCACTAACCCAAAGGAAAGTAGGAGGGACGAGACTCCAGATGGAGTTTTCAGTAGCTCTCCTCACATCTTCACTGTTCGTGGCTTCATTGTTTGTATTCAAATGCCATGAATTTGCACCAGAAGCACTCATATTACAATATAAGCCCCGAACACATTCCACAGCTCAGTGATTTCTGAGGTGAGAAGACAGGAGAGAGCTGTTTCTGACGATTTCATTCACGAGGCGAGTTAAGCCAGCTTTGTGTTGAAGCTGTCTTCTGCTTTCGCTTACCTAAGACCATGAGGAGGACTCGTTTTCCAGCCTAAGAACCAGGACAGCCTTGCTGCGGGGAGTGGAGATTTTCTCCGGAACCAAATGGACAGCGGTGTGTCCCTCCCGGGCCTGTGTCACGGTTTATCGGGCAGAGGTCTTTAAAACAAACCAGCCACAGAATGAGGTCAACAGTCTTGTTCTTTCCCTTTTTCGCTAGGTAATGTTCACGGAAGAGGACGTCAAGTTCTATTTAGCAGAACTAGCCTTGGCCTTGGACCACCTGCACGGCCTGGGCATCATCTACAGGGATCTGAAGCCGGAGAAGTAAGTGAGAAGCGAAGAGGTGAAGTCCTCACGAGCCCACTTGCACCTTATTCCCTGTGGCCCACGATACTAGCCATTTCTCATATTTCTTTCCCAGCAAGTGCAGAGCAGCAGATAGCCTGGGGCGGGGGTCACCTGCCCCCAAACCCTACGCAGGGCTTCCAGGTAGAGTTGGCAAATTCCACCTCCCTGCCCTTGAAAAGGTGCACCTTGGTTCACGCTGATGTGTATGGGAATTTCACAGCCTGTTTCTCACCTAATCCTCACAAAAACTCTCTCTGATGGAGTCCAGGCCAGTGGTGGTGTCTACACTGCACAGGTGAGGCAGGAGCTGGGAGGAGGACAGTGTTGGCGTCTACACTGCACAGGTGGGGCAGGAGCTGGGAGGAGGAGGACAGTGTTGGTGTCTACACTGCACAGGTAGGGCAGGAGCTGGGAGAGGAGGACAGTGTTGGTGTCTACACTGCACAGGTGGGGCAGGAGCTGGGAGGAGGAGGACAGTGTTGGCGTCTACACTGCACAGGTGGGGAGGAGCTGGGAGGAGGACAGTGTTGGTGTCTACACTGCACAGGTGGGGCAGGAGCTGGGAGGGGAGGACAGTGCTGGCGTCTACACTGCACAGGTGGGGCAGGAGCTGGGAGAGGAGGACAGTGTTGG